CCCCCCCCAGTCAGAATCTGCATGCTGACAGGATCCCTGGTGATGCATGTAGACATTAAAGTTTGAGAAGCACCGCTATTATGAGATGCAAGTTGTCTACATTCACTTAGTAGCTCTCTCTCTGGGGTGGTGGGAGCTTTGCCTGGGTTGAATGAGCAGATAGTTCAATTTGTAATCTCTTCAGCAAAGACCTCAGGCTGCTCCTTCCTTTGGGGAAGAGACAGTGTGGGAAGTGGGGGAGTGAGTGGGTGAGGTGCAGAAGCCTTTACTATGGTGATCAAATTTTCAAATCATAAAGTACTTTTGGGAATGTTACCTCCTCAAAAAGCCTAAAAAGTTTTCTTACCTCTCAAACATGGGACATATCTTCTCAGCCCTGAGTAATGTAAATTCGGGGAAGGGAGACTAATACCTTCCAAGCCACTGCCCTGGGCTGAGCACCGTGGCAAGTATAGAAAGGAGGGAGGTTGGAGGTGGGAATGGAGAAGCCAGATGGGATGGGGAATCAGGGAGCCCATGGAGTGGTTCCCCCTCATCTTTAAAGTGCACAAGGGCAGAAGAGTTCCCTTTGGCTCTGGAAATCCACTTAGGGCTTTTTTTCCCCAGCCTTGGCCATTTGCTTGAATTCTGCGGACCTGCAGGTCCCAGCTCCTGTCTATGCAGTAGTGCTAACAAATGGATGGGAAGAGTCATCTCAATGTGAGTTAGTCCAAATTCATAGACTGTCAATCTCCCTTGTTTCACAGACCAGTGCTCTAACACCTATAGGGGCACTGTGACTCCCAAGTTCACAAAGCCAGTAGGTGGCAAAGTTCAAGGGCTCTGTCTTCTGTGCTCATTCTGTCAATCTTACCACCTGTAGTATGTTTTTAATGGCAACCAAATTGCTTTTTGTCCTAGGTCTTCTTGGAATAAGGGGATAAATATGTCAGTGAGAACAATCCCACCCAATCTTCTTGCCCCAAATAAAGATGAACTGTCCATGGGCACTTCTGGCCCTATTAAAAATTTAAAAAATTAAAAAATCTTATCTGATGCTGTGAGGAGGAAGAATTTAAGCAGCATGTGCCAGTGAATGGAAGAAACTGGATGGGATGGGAGAGTGGCAGGTAGATTAGCACAGGCCGCCACTGAGACCCTGGGTCAGGTTCAGGTTCGTACCGTTAGACCACTGCCATGCACTCTCTGTCTGAACTACCTCTGCATGCCAGAGCCCTCTCCCCACAGCACTCCAAGGTATGTGGGCCGTGGATGTAGCCATGGTGGTGCAGGCTTCCCCCTAGCTTTGTATTCCTCACCTGAATCCTGGCACAACCAGAGTGAGAATCATGAAGTCATTGTCTGAGGCTCCAGCAGCTGTGTAAATGTGATCACCGGCCACCTCCCAGCCTGGAAAGGAGAGCAGGGAGTTAATGCTCCAGAGGGTCGGGAGCAGGGCAGATGTGCACCCAGATGACACTCTGGAACCAGTGTCCAACACAAGCCATGTGATACCTGTCCCATTACTTTGGCCAAAGACTCTGAAGCTCTCAGAGCAAGACCTTTGGGGCGTGTACAAGCTGTTTCTAGTTCAGTTTCTGCCTCTATAAAACAAGATTTGGTAGAATATATGCCCATGAGGAGTGGAACTGTCCAGGGAATGTGTGGCCTGATTAGCTCACTTTTCTCCAGACATCTGGAGGGTGAAAACGTGATGCAGGAAGAGCCCCCATTGGGTGTGCAGGGAGCTGGGAGTGTGCAGTGAACGGAGATGCCCTTACCAGTCATGCCCTTGTACTCAAAGTTAGTTCCGCTGAGAACGGTCGTCTCCATGTTCATGGGCAGCGTGTTCCACCATTTGTATTCGAATCCCACAACAGGTTCAGTCCCTGCAGGGCAGTGTCTACAAGCTGGGGGGGATGACAAGATCCATGAGTTCAGCAAGAGGGCTGCAGCCACCCTAACTGGTGCTGCTGTCACACAGACAAGTGTCCACAGTCATGGGCAGCCAAACAAGGGGAGTGTACTGAGCACCACTGCACAGTTATATCAAGTTAACCAAAAGCATTTTGGCAACGTATTTGACAAACTCAAGCTGAAAACACTGACCCTGCCTTCCCGTGTTCCAGCTATCTTCCTTGCCCACCTAATTTTCCCTTTCAAAACGTAGATGTGCCCTGCCAGCATGGCTCAGTGGTTGAGCATTGACCTATGAACCAGGAGGTCAGGGTTCNAGCCAGCATGGCTCAGTGGTTGAGCATTGACCTATGAACCAGGTCAGGGTTCAATTCCCGGTCTGGGCACATGCCCTGGTTGTGGGCTCAATTCCCAGTAGGGGGCATGCAGAAGGCAGCCGATCAATATTTCTCTCTCATCATTGATGTTTCTCTCTCTCTCTCCCTCTCCCTTCCTTTCTCTGAAATAAAAACAAACAAACAAACAAAAATAAACATATCTTCTGGTCTGGTCCATACAGTTCATGCCATTTGTCACATTACGAGCAGTAAATGCATTCACATGAACAGGTGCACAAATTCCCCCAGCTCCTTTCTGCAGCATTGCTTATAGGCCCACATGTGCTGAGCTGGCCCTCCCAGCTCCTCACACCTTCTGATTGGCATCCCTGCCGTATGCTGGAAGCTTCTGGTGAGGATGGGGCACCTGCGGGCCTGAGTCACTATTGCAGTTGGAATGAGAAGAGCAGGTAGTTCTCAAGTGTGACTGTGACCTACAGGTGGAGCCCACCCTGACTGCTCTTCTCCTGACTTGGCCCTCAGGGGTGTCCTGGCCCTCACGGCCTCCCTCAGAAGGACAGCTGCCCGCCCTGAGGGCCCATGCAGCCCGCTCCTATGAGTGCTGTGGGAATGGAGGAGGTGCAGGGACCAGGCAGTAGAGGGGTTACCAGAGCCGTTGGAGTAAGAGCCATAAGGGCAGGGCTCGCAGGTGCTGTTGTCGGTTTTGAAGAAGCCTGGGTTGCATGGCGGGCAGCGGGTCTTCACGCCAGAGGCGGGCAGCTTCACCGCCCCCTCGAGGTCCTCATTACAGATTTTCGGCTGGGCCCACTTGTACATGAGCTGTGTCTGCAAAAATGGACCAAGAATTACTTAGCCTGTGTGCAACTTAGCACATCTTTAGGAAAATTGACTTGAGGACGGGAGACCCTGGGCTACAGTGAAAGCTCCACCAGGGTGGGGATCTTTGTTTCGGTCATTGATGTATCCCAAGTGCCTAGCCAAGTGCCTGGCATATGGTTGTGCTCACTGAATGCCTGTTGAATACAGGCTGACTGGATGAAGAGGGATGAACCTAATGACAGCTTGTGTGACAGTGGATGGGGAACCAGTTGTCTTCAGAGAAAGCTCCGATTCCAATTAGAATCTTATTAGTACCAAGGTCACAGAAAAAGCAGCTGGCAAAAATCCCAGAGCTCAGAAAGGCATGGATGGAGTGGAGGTGGCTTCCATAACCCCTGGGGAAAGAGGGGATGGCTGAGGTGTCCATGTTTATCTTCTGGGTGTTTGCTTTTTTGTTTATTCAGCGGACACTTGCAGAAAGCTAATGCATCTATGCCAGACTTGGGGACTCAGAGATGATGAGAGAGACATGGGCCTTGCCCTCCAGGAGCTCATCATCTAGCAAGGACAACAATCACATAATAACAGCCCGCATGGGACATCAGGGCAGGAAGTACTATGCTGGCCCATGGGTACAAACTTCCAGTTATAAGACCATTACATTCTGGGGATGTAACTTCTAGCATGGCGATTACAGTTTATGTTTTATGTACTTGAGAATCGCTGAGAGTGTAGGTCTTAAGTGCTCTTCCCATTAAAGAGAAAAGGGAATTATGTGATATGATGGAGGTGTTCGCTGACACTGGTGGCCATCATTTTGCAGCATGTGAGCGTCTCAAATTAACATGCTGTACACCTTAGACTTACACAGTGTTATATCTCAGTTATATCTCAGTAAAGCTGGGGGTGGGAAGGCAAGAGCAGCAGCCATCAGGTCAGTGGACAAGAGAAGGAGCACACTGGAGACCTAGAAGGCCTTGGCCCAAGCGGGAGGGGAGAGAGTGGGGCAGAAGGGAGCAAAGACAGCCACATTCAGCCACATAATATGCCCAGAGAGGATAAGAGGAGCAGGACTGTCCTTGTGTAATTTAGTGAGTCAGCCAAGGCCAAGAAAATGGCAATTTTTACAAGGTCATATAGAGCACCAGATACTGCAGAGCTGAGTCTGAGGGGCAGCTGATAAGATACACAGCCATCCTCACTTGCTGCTAGGGAAGGAGATGATGCTCCACACAGGAGGGTGGGGGTGGGGGTGGGGAATAAGAGGTGACTGAAAAACAGTCACTGTTAGGACCCACCTTTATCCTATGCTTAATCAGCGAAAGGATTCGGCCAGCCAGCCAGCCGACAAACGTGTATGCATGCTAATAGCCAAGCACACACTCAGTGCTGAATGCAGATTCCCCAGCTCCTGATTCTGTCTTCTCGTGAGACTGCTTTAGAGAGGCCGACGGTGCATCTGGAGTGTCTGATCTAAGACAGACCCCTCCCCTTGTGCCCTTGAGCCATCCTGGCTCCCTGACTGCTGTTCCTCCAACTCACCAGGCACAAGCCTGCCTCCTCTACAGCTGCTGTGCCCTCTGCTCAGACAGTGCTTTGGCTCCCCCCTCACCTCACTCAGGTCTCTGCTCAGTTGTCACCTCCTCCAAGAGGTGGTCCCTACCCTCAGCAATAGCTTTTCCACCCTCTGTCATTCTCTATCTCCTAATCGTTTCTTATTTCTTCTGTGATATATTACACAACCATTTGTTATATATCTGTTGTCTCTCTCCACTTGCTTCCCACCAAGAATTAAGCTCCCTGAGAGTAGAAGTTCCCTTGGTTTTTCTAACCTCTGAGTACCTAATGCCTAGCACAGTGACTGTTGAAATGAGCCAATGACCTTCTCAGAGAGGCCTTCCCTGAGGAGCCCTGTCACTCCTCTTCCAGGGTCCCCAGTGCCCTGCACATCTTGTTGCCTTGGTCAGGCCCATCTTCTTGTCATCTCCACACTCCCTGAGGGCAGGAGCCTTACAATCTCGGAATCTCCCTCTGGAGCACAGTGCCTTGTACAGCGGTTAATCCTCAGAATGTGCAGACTACAAAGGAAGGTCTTTCTGAGGCCAAGAGCCTGGGGGGAAGAGGGAACCAGCAGGGACAAGTCAGGCCATTCTCCAGTGAGCCAGGAAGTCTGATGAGTTCCCTGTGGACATAGTGTGCGGGGACAGGCAACCATTGTCCAGAGGGGCTAAGCGAAGGAGAAATCAAAAGAAGTGAAATGATTCTTTGAAATAGAGCCTGAACCCATAGCGGGGACAATGTGGTCAAGAGTTTTGGCCTGAAAGTGAGTGAGGCCATCTCGTTTGCCCCCACTGGCCCCGGAGTCACTCTGTAGTCTCTGGGGTTTTCTCTGGTGCCAGCTTCAGGACCTGCTGGAACTCCAAATGTGGTGAAGCCCAGGGAACGGGCAAAGGGGCCCTGATAGTGTGCTACCCACCTCTCCGTTGGCATCGCAGGCTGTGTGCGTGTAGAAGTAATCTTTGTCCGTGCAGGCTGGGCGCAGTTTGCAGGAAGAGGATCCTTTTTCTAAATTGCAGAAGCAAGGACAGATACTTGAAATTACATAGGAAAGCGGAGCTCATGACCCTCTGGACCCAAGGCCCTGGAGCGCAGCATAACACAGATACTGCGGAAAGTAGAAAAGCCAGCATGCTGACTCTTTCCTTGGCCTCAGTGGCAGAATTTACAGTCCCTAAAGCCCTGCTCGGACAGCCCTGCGCACCAGTCCCCGGTGCTGGTGAGAAACCACCAGGCCGCACTGTGGGGCAGGGTGGGGAGAAGCAGACTGGCCAGAGGACCTGCAATGAGGGTGGGTGGCTAGAAAGAGCATCTTGCTGGTTCACTACCACCAACCCAAGTCCCCTGAAATCCACCATCTTCCAGGTGCCACAGAATCCTGACTGCGGTTTCTATTCTTGGGGAGTTGAAGGGAAACAGGAAAGCTTAGGACCATGCCTTCATGCTCTTGTTCTCATTCTTTCTCTGAATTTTCTCTTCATATCTTCTTTCCCCTCCCCTCCCCCCAGGCACTCTCTCTGAACCTAATAAAAAATGTTAACTATCGTTTTATTTATTCTGCTCTGTGTTTTCATGTCTGTGTTAGTTCTGCTTTAACCCTATGAACCCCTGGATAGCAAGAATTGTTTCAATGAATCCCTCTCTAAAGGAATGGATTGCACCTTTTAAAAATTATGTGCCCTTTTGAGAATTTGAAAAAAAGACCTGTTTTCTCTATCAAAAAAAAACCCCGCAAACACAATTCATGCATTAAATTTCCAAGAAATTTACTTTCCACAGAATAAAAATCACTGCTTTATAGAATGCGAGTACAATGCTAGTACTACCACTGTCACCACTATTTCTAATGTGACTACAGCGTCACCTGCAGGTCAGCATCTGATAATGGGGGACTGCCTCACTCCCTGTTACCTGACGGGGCAGTGTGGGAGAGTGGAATGAGAAAGTAAGTTGGACAGATCTGGATCCCACTTGATCATTTCATAGCTGTGTCACTTTAGGCACGTTACTGACCCCTGAGCTTGAGTGCTCTCGTAGGTAGAGCAGGAATAATAATATCTACCTGGCTGGAGCCAGCACATACCTGGCACATTGTAAGTAGGGACTCACTAAATGCTGGTAAATCTTATTACCTGGGTTTGTAGGGATTATTTTTATTTGGTAACTGTCACAGGATTTTTAAATAAAGATTAAAAATCTCTTTCTCTCTCTTCCAGTTAAGGGCTTATTTCTTAACTGATCTCTTCTTCTTCCCAAGGTGCCAAATGAGGTCCTGGATCAGAAAATTTCCCGATTACCGCTTTGTTGGCCTGCACTGGGGAGTTCACCCCACCCATTCCACCCACTCCCTTCACGCCTCTTCTGTCCCCATCTTATTAGCTTGAGCAAGAGGGAACTACTGGCTGAGAAACAGCTGGGGTCTTCTTAGCCCATTTGCATGGTTAAGAAGCAGAAAGCCCAATTCAGCACAGAGGGATCAGGGACTCCTGCTTTTTACTGACATGGCCAGGAGAAATCTGGGGGGAGATGCTGAAAACACACTAGTTTCCAGGACCCTTGCGTATTGGTTCCAGCACATTGCAAGCTGCCTGTTAGAAAGTGCATTCCGCGCAGGGGCCTTTCTCTGCTGGGCAAATATTTGCTCAACTTGACATGCTAGCTCCAGGTTTCAGCAAAAGGAGTCCAGCTGTTTACACACTGACAATTGCTAAGGTGGTGTTAATAAATGATTAACCCAAATGCTGAGATGGACCTCACTTTCCTGGCTCAGGTTTCATCCTGGTGTTTAAGTTGGGTACTAGTCAAGTTTGAAAGATAGGCCTAGATATTTGAGAAAATGAAAAGTGATTCCTGTGGGATTGGCCCTGGCCAAAACTGTATGGAAATAAGGTTTATCTTGGGGGCTCCAGCTTCTCTTTCTGCACCTTCCTCCTGCTCCCAGTGTCTCCTCCCTGCCTCCAGGAGCACAGTGTTCTCATTCTGATACAAGAGGAAAACAGGCCCGGCTCAGATACCACCGCAGACTCTGGGCAAGCCCCTGAGCCTCTCTGAGCTGTTCTTTATTCATTTGTAAGTGGGGAGGTCGCTCTTGTACTATGCTATGAGTGATAAATGAGATAATGTTCTGTAATTTGTAAAGTACTATACAAGTGACACATTATTACTGCTATCTATGTCAGTAGTTTTGTATTAGTAGAGGACTGCTGGGGCAGGCCTTAACATAAATGAATTAATAAAGTTAGTGCTCACTACAGGCCAGGTACTGTTCTAAATACTTCACTGCATTATTTAATCCATACAATAACACCATGATGTAGATATGATTACTGACATTCGACTTTATAGATGATGAAACTGAGGCACAGACAAATAACTTGCCCAGGGTGGCACAGCTAGTAAACGGTGGAGCAGGGGTGTGAACTGTAGTAATTTAGTTCATGCTCTTAAATCCCTTGCTATTCTCTTAGGAAATGAATCCCTAACTATTAAATGTAACGTGAAGGAATTAATCCTAATTATCAGATTTTAGGTATCAATGAGAAAGATGCTTTCAGTCAAGCCTTTGACCTTAACATCTCCACCCCCAGTGGCTCTGCCTCAGTCTAGGTCTCCTGGATACCAGCAATGGTGCCTGTGGCAGAATCTCCCAACTGGAACTTTTGCCTCCAGCCAGCCATTCCTTTCCTCATCCATTTTCCAAATGGCAACCAGAGCGGTCTCTCAAAAGCACAAGCCAGATCATTTCCCCAGCTTGAAATTCTTTAATGGCCCCCACTGCTGAAAGGATCAGATCTCAATTTTGGGGGCAGTGGCACAGAATGACTGATCCATAATCTGTTTCCTGCCCACCTCTCAACCTTGGATGTAACTTCTCTCCAAGTTAGCTCCAGCCATGCTAGTTGCTCGAAGTTCTCTGAGCCTTCTGGCTTTGACTCACACTTCTTCAGAAACATCCTGCCCCCATCAAATCACCAACTTGTCTTTCAAGACTCAGCTCATCTCTCAGACTACAGCTAGTGAAGCCTTTCCTCCCTCCCCAGAGAGGAATGGCTGCTTCCCTTCTTTGCCTCCACTGCCCGCTACACTCAGCACTCCTATCCCAGCACCTCCTACACCACAAAGTTACTAAGATGTTTCTATAACCACGTTTCCCCTTTTCAACATAAGCTGGAAGGCAGGCACCTGTTCTAACCCTAGCACCAAGCTCAAGCCCCTGGCACCTACCAGGTACTCAGGATTTATTTATAAATGGGTGACTACGTGTTCCTAGGGTCTCCTGTCACTTCCTTCATGCTCATTCCATCATAGGCTCTGATCAGACTCTCTCTGCATTGTCCCAGCATCCCACTGACCCCATATTCTGGACAAATCAAGTCCCAAAGAAATGTAACTCTCTTTGTACCCCTGGCTGGTAGGTGATCGACAAGCTGCCCATGCTCTTCATAGTAAAAACTCACTCCTCGGCCAAAGGGGTGGAGTGGGGAATGGGTATCAGAAGGAGAATGGACTCTAAGAATTCAGACTCCCAACCTAACACTTTCATAACAGCTCTCTGCATAAAAATCAGTTTACAAAGAGTTGATCAAAATACTCTTAGGCAGTCTTTCTAGAGCCACCTTGCCATTCAAACCCCTGAACAGCGGCTGGGCTAGAAAGGGAGCTGGAGACCTGGACTCACAAAGGCTACTGTTTGCAGAGCAGGGAAGAGATTGAAGTGGAAGAACAGGAATGGAGACTTATAGATAGAAACTTCCCCCAAAATCTAAACATTCCTGTTCTTGCTGAAATCTGTACTCCTTTGGCAAAATCTGTGTAGAAAACAGGATTTTTTGTTTTAGGAACAGTGTAAAAATAAGCAATTCACAAGGTCAACAGCAGGTCTTGGCTGAGCCAACACACGCTGTTACACCTGTGTGAAGGGTGGGTATGTCAGTGTAGGGATACAGGGTCTGCTTGAGAGAGGGCCTTGAGCTGGGCTTGTCTATGGTTCTGTGTGAGAAAGAAAAAATGGAATAGTTATGAGTGTTTGCAAGGGGAGAGAAGAGACTCTTTCTCTTTCTCTACTAGTTTTTTCAGAACCTGTCTTCGAGATTGGCCCCCTTGCCAACCACTGGACTTCTGAGCACAGGGCCCTCTGGGAGCACTGTTCCTTTTATACCAGAGCCTTGCCACCCCTGGAATCCCCTCAAATGACCAGGTCCTGGAATGCTTTGGGACACTATCCAGAGGCTGCTTCTAAGCCGTCTTATTTTCTTTTGGCACAGTGTTCTCAGGAACCCTGGAATTCCCAAAAAGTCCTGCTTTGAATTCAGTGGATGCTCAGGGTGATAAAAGATTGTAACTGCCATCTTTAGCTGGTAATCAAAATGTTTTGCTCATCAATACAGCCTCGTGGCTCTTCTAAATTAACTTTGATAATGTTATAAGTTAAAATACACATAAACCTCTTATCTACTGTACATATTATTTATAATTATAATCTTATATAGGGTTTCATTTAAAAAATTTTACTGCTTAAAAAAAAAGATTTCCCTGACTCTCTTAAGTCCTCTAACCCTGAGTTGCTTTTCCTTTTTGCCAGGCACTTTTTACTGTCTAACATATAATATAAATTTTTATATACTTGTCGTTTATTTATTACAGTTATTGTTTATTGTCTGCCTTACCCCCTCCAGCATGTAAATTCCATTAAGACGGGGCGCTCTGTCTATTTTGTTCACTGATATATTACAAGCACCTAGAATAGGGGCTGGCAGATAGTAGAGGCTCAATAAATACCTATCAAATGGTTTCATTTTTATTTCCAGAGCAATTGGTGGGATGTGGATTGGCAAGGTTCTTCCAGGGTCCAGAAAGCACGGGTTTAAGAGTGATAGGTCTGGAGCTTGACCAGGAGGATGGCTCCACTGCTGGTTTCTCCCTGTGCTTGTTGGTGTCACCTACCAAACCCTTCCCACCCTCAGAAGCATCACCTGAGTATTTGTCAGGGTCACACTGGTGGCAAGAAGTTTCTTCCTTGTTCGAATAAGAGTTTTCGGGACAAAGTTTGCAGAAAGAGGAGCCCTGCTCATCTGCGTATGTGCCAGGTTTGCAGGGGAAGCATTCAGACGTGTAGGCCACCCCTAGAAAGAGAAGCAAAAAGCAAGCCTGAAGACTGAAGCCCCTGGGGACCGGCCCCCACCCTCCACCTGCAGGGTCACAAGGCTAGAAATTCAGCAACAGCTGCAGCCTCTGGTCCCACTTGCATACCTGTTATGACGATGTTTCTCACAAGCACAGGCTTGGAAACCTTGGACCACACTGAGAAGGCTGTGGTTCTCCAATAGAGGACATTATTGCCTCGGTTTAGCTTCACCTAAACACCACAGACAGGAGGAGCTAGTTCAGTCTCAGAGAGAGACTCCTCGTGCACTGGGTGAGCCTCCTGCTGGGACCCCTCTTAGTCAGTGCCTATGGGCCCCCCTCCTCACTGCCTCAGCTTTGCGCTTCCCCCCATCTTGGCTTAGCTCCTCCATCCTCTGAGCCTTCTCTACAACCCTCTCCCAACCTTTCCTGCTCCCCCTTAGTCACAAACACCATGAGCTACTCCATAGCAAAACCAATGAAGGGACCTGACAGCAGGGTGACCAGAATTCCCTCTTTCATCTCTGGTTCTGTGTATCAGTCTCCTGCCCCCAGAACACCTTGCCCTTAAAGCTGGAAAGCTGCGGCTGGTCCTTGGGGTCAAGCCATTGGTGCAGCACGTCAGCCCACCCCCATTTTCCATCAACTCAAGAGGAGAGAAACTATAGCATCCTCCTCCTGTCAGACCCCTGTCCTCTAGGGGAGGGCGATGGAAGCCCAGGCCAGGAGGAAGCCCAGACTTGGAGGAAAGGCCCTTGGTCCCTTTTCTGGGATTTCTAGGAAAGGCCTGCATCTCCAGCAGAGGCTGCAGGGAGGCTGGCATGATACTCACGCTGTGGAATTCCCATCCTTTGTCCGTGGTTCGCATCCACCTGGAGTCATCTGCGTTGGGCTGGCACTGGTCATTCTGGACCTGAGGCAGCAGGAGTTTGGGGTCAGAGTCTCAGCCATCTAAGTTTCTGTGGCAGCCTCCCAGAAACCCCTTCTTGTGGGAAAGGAGTTGCCAGTTTCCTTTGGGAACATAATGACATTCTACTCCTGCCCCACGGAGCCCTCCCCTCTTGAAGCCTCAGCCCATTATGCCCACAGTCCTCTCCAGAGGGAAACCAGCTGTGAAGGCTTCCCAGGCAGGACTGCACCTGCGATTCCTGCAAATGAGTTGGAGCCATGGAGGGTCTTTGCCCCCCACCCTCCCCCTTGGCCGGGGGCTTACGAAAAACTCAAAGATGATGTTGGAGTCTGCGTAGTAGTATTCGAAGCTGACGGTGCCTGACTGCTTCAGGTTGACAGCATACATCAGCGTGGCTGTGCACTCGTCCGTGTTGGAGGCGATGTAGTCGCCCAGGGGAACC